TCTCCCAGCTGCTGAGCGTGTGGGTTGCACACACTGACACGCTCAAGGAATGCAACGCATCAACGGAGGAGCTGCAGAACATGTACGCCAACCTGCCGCTTGACACCGGCGTTGCCAAGGATCTCTACGGCACGCTAGTTGGTGCCCTGCAGGACGATGGCGACGACTACGCCTACGGGTTTGGATGCACCACGACAGACGACGCTGATGCTGATGTCGGTGCTGGTGTCGACGCCTCCACGGGTGTTGCGGTGGCCAAGGCGAACCCGCAACTTCAACAGCAACAGCAACAGCAACAGCAGCAGCAACAAGCCCACTCAGCTTCAATGGCGCCGCCACCATCGTCGTCTCCACCATCGTCATCCAAGGCTGCTGCTGACACACCTACCTTCAACACCACCCCCACCAGTACCACTGACACCACCCCCACCTCCTCCTCGTCGACCTCGGATGTGGATCCCCCATACATGTTTGGCATGATTTCCCGCCGGCGCGCGGAGGCGGTCCTACGCGCGCAGCGGAAAGAAGGGGTGAAGAAGCCGTTTCTGGTGCGACAGAAGGACGCGCGCACATACGCCATCTCCATTGGGCTGCGCAACAAGTTTGTCCATCATCTCCTGCATTGCGGCAACCGCGTGTGGACGTTCAACAACAACGCCGTCCCTGTGCAAGGGTCGCTGCGGGATGTGATTGAGTGGCTGTGCGAGCGCCACCCAGAGCACGGCTGGGACGTGACTCTGGGCCAGCCGCTTGACCGCCGCGCCATCAACATGAACGCACACCCGGAGACATGATGTCAAAAGAAGAAAAGAGACTGGAGGAGGAAGGTCTTTGGCGGCAGTTTGCATTGCGCGCTCCAACGAGCTGCTGAGCTGGCGGCAGGCATGTCGTCGCTGGTGGCGTTCGTGGACTACTGCCAGTCTGTGCTGGGTGAATGTGGTGTGTCAATTCTTCAATTTGGTTGGTTGAGTTGTGTTGTTGAGGGGTTCGTGAGTTTGTTCTTCCGTTGCGGTGGTGACTCTGCTTTTCATGTGTGACAAGGTTGAGTGAGAATGGGCAGTGTAGTGGACAATTGGCACAACGACACGCGGCGTCTACATGATGTTTGTTCTCTGCCTCTTGAGTGCGCATGCTTGTTTGATTCTTCTCAGCCCACCATCCTACCATCTGTTTTCCTGATGGTTAATTTGCTTTGATGATTGATTCCTTTAGACTTGCCTTGGTTTGAAACTGAGTTGATAGCTGCCCTTCTTCATCTTTCTTCTTCGTTTATTGATTGTGCCACTCCACCAAGCACACCAGCACACCCCGAACAACGACACAGAAGAAGATTCATGGATTGCGCTGGTCGTGCGCACCACCGCCCACACCACCACCGCCCAACCGCAACGGTTTACGACAGGACAAAAGAATAGCCGCACAATTCAAGCCAAATTTATTTTTATTTTTGTTTTGCGGGAAGTCTCACAAGCACGCAAACTGACTGACGATAATGGATGGTGGAGGCGGAGCGGATGTGGAGTGGATCTTGCCGCATGTGTCCTTCAGCCAAGGTAAGATCGTTGCCATACCACTGTGCATAGACATGGTCAAGAGGGGGGATGAACTTAGAGTGCTGTGCACTCACACACGCACACACACACATATGCGCACAAGTGGAGGTTTCATCTTGGCTTGCTTTGTTGTGTGTTTGTTGACTTTCGTCATGTGTGATTGTGTGAGCTCACGACACACACACGCACATACACACTCACACACACTCTCACACACACACACACTCTCTCTCTCTCTCTCTCACGCACACACACACGCCCGCCCACACACACACACACACACACTGTCTCGCGTCTGCGTTTGTGTGCAGTGACGGCGGCCAAGGCGCGGCGAGGCGCACAGCAAGTAAGTTGGCTCAAACATGTGTGTGTCGGTTGCCCGGTACTAGCCGGTGTACCCATGCTGCAGGTCTACGCGCAGCACACATCACAATGACACTGTTTCCTTGCCAGTTGATTCGTGTTTCACACGTATACACCTTGTTACAACACCCAACAGCAGGCGGGAACAATGAACTCCATCATCAAGACCTTGCAAGCAGCGGCAGCGACGGAGGGGGATGAGGATAGCCATGGCGATGGTCCACCCACGCCTCGCGAATCTTTGAAATGGACGCTGGTGTGTGTATGTGTGTGCATGACCGTGTGTATGTGTGTGTGTGTGTGTGTGTGTGTGTTCGTTCGTGTGTATTCGTGTGATGA